ATACCTTTGGTCTCCATCTCATAAAACAGATCCAAGGCATACTGCCACATATCTCCCTTCCCGCATGCGGATATAGCGGCACTATAGGTCCTCTTATTGCGTTTGATACCCTTGGTCTCCATCTCATTAAACAGGTTCAAGGCCTTCTGCCACTGATCTCCTTTCTCGCACGCGGATATAGTGGTATTGTAGGTCACCGTATCGCGTGTGATACCTTTGGTCCCCATCTCATGAAACAGATTCAAGGCCTTCTGCCCATTATCTACCTTCTCGCATGCGGATATAATGGTATTGTAGATGATCGTATCACGTTTAATACCCTTGGTCTTCATCTCATAAAACAGATCCAAGGCTTTCTGCCACTGCTCTCCCCTCTCGCATGCGTATATAGCGGCGCTGTAGGTCATCCAATTTTGTTCGATACCCTTGGTCTCCATCTCATAAAACAGATCCAAGGCCTTCTGCCACATATCTCCCTTCCCGCATACGGATATAGCGGCACTGTAGGTCATCCTATTGCGTTTCAGACCCTTGGTCTCCAACTCATAAAACAGATTCAAGGCTTTCTGCCACTGTTTTCCCATCCCATAGGCCGTTATAGCGGCACTGTAGGTCTTCGTATCGCGTTCGATACCCTTAGTCTCCATCTCATAAAACAAATCCAAGGCCTTCTGCCACTGGTATCTCTTATTGCATGCGGATATAATGGCATTGTAGGTAATCGTATCGCGTTCGATACCATTGGTCTCCATCTCATAAAACAGATTCAAGGCCTGTTTCCACTGGTATCTCTTCTTGCATATGGTTATAGTGGCATTGTAGGTCAACGTATCGCGTTTGACACCCTTGGTTTCCATCTCATAAAATAGATGCAAGGCTTTCTGCCACGAATCACGTCCGCCTGCATTCGCACAACTAACGATCACAGTATTATAAGTCTCCGTATTCGGTATAGTACCACTTTTTAGCATCTCCTCGTAATTTGAGTACGCCATTAATGCAGTAATAGATCGATTGTATTTAAATGTCGTGGAAGTAACTTGAATGGCACGATCAGAATCCATGTCCCCCCGATGCTGTGCTGCAGTGCTCACTCTGTCCCATTCTGTCTCGTGTTCCGTTGTGCCAGCACTGACATTAGGTGAAGGTTGCCCAACGCTAGATGTTTGTTTCCATATACTTGATGCAAAGGCCCGCATTCGAGGTGCTCTGCAACAGTGTGGAGTATCAAACCATCAAAACCAATCTAGAATTGCAGTGCTTGTGAAGACATATGAAACAGATCGACGCCAAACATCTGATACTGTATTCATTCCATCCAAAGTACTGGTATCAACATTGCAGAATAGGTGCGACAGTGTTCATGAACAAACGTTTCCAAGGGGACTTGCCCACTGGAGACAGGTCCACAAATGACACGTACATTGATAAACTGCACAATACTGCTAGCACATGTATATGAACCAACATCAGACATATACGTCGTATGTGGTCGAGAGAGCTATGCTGTGCAAACGATTATGCAGATCAACGTCGTGAGAACTTTATCTATAAACTAGTATACTAGAATATAAAAAAGGTTTTCAGCATAACTAGGTAGATATGTTGAGAAACACAATTATGGAACTTCAAAAATACATTCAATCTGCTTTGTATATGAAATCCAGTTCTAAGAACGAGTCAATACTCCAACTTCAGTATACGTGTAACAAAGGCAAACCATAAAACGAAGTATGATTGGCCTATAGTAACATACAATCGACCGTGTACACATCTGAACCTATGTGAAAAATCGATTTGGTGCATATATA